GTTTACGGCTTTAGGGTTCTAGGGTTTAGGGTTTTAGGGTTCTAGGGTTTAGGGTTTTAGGGTTTAGGGATTAGGGTGCAGGGATGACCGTGGAAACCCTAAACCCTAGACCCTATAAGCCCTACCTTAAACTACCAAACCCTACTTTTTTGCAGGTTCTTATTATAAACCTTAATATGGACTTTATAGGGACCCTACAAAAAAGTAAAATTTGGCAGGTTAAGGTGGACCCTAAACCCTAAACCAAAGTAACCAAAGCACCCCTATAGAGAACCCTTACAACTTATGAATTGCCCTTATATGGAGATCCCTCCTTATGGAGATCCCTCCTTATGCAGATCCCTTAAACAGGATGACCCACTCATTGCGGACCGACTGGCGGAGCGGATTCTCCAGCACCAGAAGAGGCGTGCGACTGGAGCTTCCGGGCCCTGGTGTTTAGGGGGGTTTAGGGTTTAGGGTCTAGGGTTTAGGGTTTAGGGTTTAGGGTTTAGGGTTGGGTACTGCCCCCGCTCAGTACCAGTTGGATAATATTTATATTATGGATATATTAGGCCCTTAATAGTAGCCCTATTATAGACTGTTACTGTATGGGGGCAGTACCCAAGGTTTAGGGTTTAATTACTGGTTTAGGGTTTAGGGCAAAATGGGGGTTGGGGGGCTTTGAGGTTTAGAGGTTAAGTTTATGAAGGCTTTGGGTTTTAGAGGGTTTCTGATGGTGGTTTTGGGGCTAGGCCTGATACTTGTGGGTATTGTAGGTTGCAGCTTGTTTCGGGCAGTGTTGGGGGTTTCCGTTCTTCAACATAGGCTGTTAGACATTTACGGTTTTGGGCCCCAGCCCAGAGCTAGAGATCAGAGACAGGATAGAAGCGAGAGAGAGAGAGAGAGACAGAGATACAAAGGGACAGAGTGACAGGAGTGCGAGAGGGAGGGTCGGCAGTGATGGCAACTGCGTGGTTGAGAACGGTGCTAAGAGCAGTTGGCCAGAAAACTTGCTGTGAATCCACAGAAGCCATGAGGATGAGGAGTAGGCAAGCGGCCGGGTTGAGCGATTTTGATATGATAGCAAGGCAGACGATGCCGGTACTTAGGACGAGAAGGGCGCAACATGCAGCCCGAAGGCGCCCTTAACCCTCAACCGCCGCACTCCGGAGGTCTTGGGAGATGGGAGGAGAGATGTCCCCAAAGCTCGATATAACCTGTGGGAGTCGCTGGCTGCTTGGAGGATCACGGGACTTAGTAAGTAAGGTTATAGTTACCCCAATTATAACCCTACTTACTAAGTCCCATGATCCTTTAAGTAAACCGAAGCTGTTCCCCGACTCCGAAGCCGCAAGAGGAATGGCCCCTACAAGAGCTCGGGGCATTTCGCCAAGGCAAGGAGGAATCAGGGTTCAATGCAGCGGCCTTCATAATTAGAATAGGGTTTTAAGGGGTTCCCTTTGAAGGGTTCCTTAAAGGGCTCTATAGGGGCTACTGTAAGGGTTTAGGTTTAGGGTTTAGGGGCCTTCATAAGTAGAGTAGGGTTTTAAGGGGTTCACTTTGAAGGGTTCACTTTGAAGGGTTCCTTACAAGGGCTCTATAAGGGCTACTCTAAGGGTTCGGGAGGGCCTGCGGGGGGAGTTGGCGAAGGCTTTTTCCGTTGGATCCTATTTTATATACCTTCAGGTCGAAGCTTTGCAAGGAGATGTCTTTGGGTTTAGGGTTTAGGGTTTAGGGTTTTAGGGTTTTAGGGTTTAGGGTTTAGGGTTTTTGGGGAGCCGAAGATAGGATTCTCTAAGGGCTTCAGGAGGGACCCTTAATAGGGACCCTTGTAGGTTATTGGGGTTAATCTGGAGACTACCTGGCTACACACCCTGTGAGAGTTTGTTGCTCAGGGTTGATTGCTGATTTGAGATGTCTGGTGTGCAGCCGTGGCGAGCTTTGGTAGATTGGCCGCAGGTTTTCGCGACAAGTCGTATTGCAGGTGCCCTGAAACAAGCGTCACCGTATACAAAAGCGTCAAGCACAGAAGACATGTCGACAACACGCATAGAAAACGGCGTCGGTGAGGGTAGCAGCAGCAACAGCAAGACCAGCATCTGGCTTGGCTAGCTTGATGACTGAGCAGTAAACCTCTGGTCCCTTAAAGCCCTGAAGCCCTAAAGCCCCAAACCCTAGTCACTAATCACTCATCAATGAATGCCAAACCCACAGCTTGAACCCCGAACCCCCGGATCCCTGAACCCTGAACCCAGCCAGAAGGTTGTGAAGGATATCAAGAGGTTGAGCTACCCCATCTCCGCGAACATCGGCAAGTATGCCACGCAGGCCTTTTTTTTCCTTCTTTCTCCGAAGGGTTTAGGGTTCTGGAGTTTCGGGTTGAGGCTTGGGTTGAGCGTTTAGGGTCAAGAACTTTCGGTTCCTTCTTTCTCGAAGTGTGCTTTTCACCCCCGGCAAAGGGTGGACTGGCGCTCTAGCAACTCTACACAGAATGTGCTGATGTGTGTGAAGACGACAGGCACCGTGCTGCGGTCCTTTGAGTTCGACGCAGTTGTTACTGTTCCCGAATTCCTCATCGGAAGGTCTCTTGATCTAGGGTTCCGTGTGTGGGGCTTAGGATGTAGGTTTCGGGAATGTTGCATTACCAAAGCGACTGAAAACCGGATGATTTGTGATATGCCTTGCGGGCAGCTTAGAGAAATACTCGTTGCAGCAAGGGAGCTGTCCTTTGCCTCAAGAGCCTTTGTGCTCCTTGCCTGACTTATTCGAGTGTGAGTTCGGGCATCAGAACGCGAAATCCTGAAACCCTGAACATGTGATGGCAATTATATATATATATATATATGCTCATATATATATATATGTATGAATACACACAAACACATGCATATTGACGTAGGGGCCGAAATAAGTACTACTATAAAAAACCCTATTCTAACCATAAAAGGCCCCTATGTTACACGGCCCAAACCCTGAATACTTGGAGGATCATGGGACTTAGTAAGGTTTATAAGTCCCTTAATTGGGGTGATAAGTACAGTTACCGTAATTATAAACCTACTCACTAAGTCCCATGATCCCTAAACCCTCAACCCTAAACCCTAAACCCTAAACCCTGAAGAGGGTCCTTTGTTTGAGGCCAACCCGGCCAAGAGGACGCTGATTCCCGGCAGCAGGGAACTGGTTTCTGGCATGTCGGAGTAGTGGTTTCGGGATTTTGGGTTTATGGTTTAGGGGTTTTGGGTTTAGGGTTTAAGGATTTTGGGCCTAGGGTTTAGGGATTTTGGGCTTAGGGTTTAGGGATTTTGGGTTTAGGCTTTAGGGTAGCAGTATCAAATTCCAGGTAGGGAGGTTTGAAAAGCAAGGAATACGCTTCCTTGTAAAGGGATCCTGTTCACAAGGGGAGAATTACCTAACTCCAAGGGCTATGTGGGGGACAGGTATCTTGAACAACTAGCATGTGACACCCCCAAACCCCAAGCCTAAACCCCGAGCCCCAAATCTATACACTAACTTTAAGCCCTGAAGTGGGAACCAACAACCAGAAACCCTTCACCAATGCCCGACTCATGACTGCCTGCCCAGTGCGACTGTGCGATTCGAAAGCCTAAACCCCACGAGGAATGCCATCCGGGTCTTCTTGAACCGCGCCTTGCTTGTCAAGAGCAGCTGCAGTTATAGGTAGGAATTAGGAGGTCTTCAGACTTGGGGGTCTCTCATGGGGTAGCTTATTCAGTGATCCCGTGGTCTGCAGAAGGGTTCCGAATGAGGGTTCCTTACCGCTTGCACTTCCCACTTCTCCAGAAGCTACAACACCCATCCAGTCCCCAAAGCAGTGAACCTGCATGTCCAATTATCAACCTTCTATACACATCAACCAGCAATCGTAGCTATCGTGCTCGGAACGGCCGTAGTGCTGAGAAGATAATTAAAACGCGGTGCTGCCACGATATGCGTAGTTCTCTGAATTAGGTCCTTTCATAAGGGTGCCGTGCTATTTTGGTGACCTAAACAGGGCCCCTAAGTTAGAGAACTACCCAAATCTAGCCACAGCCCCGAGTCCTGGGCAGCAGTTCAGATCTGCGAATCCCGCCAAGCCCCATGCAAGTAGCTTTGAATAGTCAAATATCCCTCATATTCATAGTACAGACCTCTGAAACCCTAGTCCAACTGTTCACAGTTAGCGGCTGGCACCTATGCTATGTGATTAACGCTGTTCTCATGGGCTTGGGTTTCGTTTGCGTTTGTCCCGGCTTTAAGCAGGTGTTATCGTGCTATCAGGTTGCATTGGGGTTTAGGGCTTAGCGTTTGTGCACGCATCTAACCAGCTGGAACGTGTTTTGGAATAGCCGAGCACCAAGACTTCGCAGGCCTACATTAGATAGACAACCTTCGACCCAACATCCGCACCTCTAGATCCTAAACTTCCGAACCCTAAGCCGTAAGCCCATACTCGTAACCATGAACTCTTCAAACCCTTGCAGACTCAAACAAGATCAGAGATTTACTCCTTCTAGCGCATGCCGCATCGAGGTGAGATGCAGCAGCTGAAAGGGGGCCTGGTCAGGATCTTGGACAGTTTCTTGTGATTTTGTGATTTGGAGTTGTAGGGTTCGTGGCTCAGGGTTTCTCGGGCTTCGGGGTTTATGGACTGACGTTTGGAAAGCTAATAATTTTGGGATTGTGGTCGTTTTCACAGCTCAGGGTTTACCTGCGTCGGCGCTTTCACATCCGGGGCAGTTCAGGCCAGGCATTTGCACGGGTCTGGTCGACTTGGTGACACCATTCGTCTGCGGGACCAAATGTCATAATGTAAGAGTCTAGGACATTTCCAGGTGGGTAGTCTATGTACCTTATGGAAGCCTTACAGAAGCCCTATATACCCTAAACTCACCACCTGTAGTTCCTTTAAAAGAGGAGAAGTTGAAGAGCAGTCGATGCGCCAGGTTTGGTGCTCTGCCCTTCCCCCCATGCTCACGCCCGCCTGAACATCCCTAAACCCTAAATCCTAAAACGGTGCAGTCCTCCTAAACCCTAAACCCTAAACCCTAAACCCTGTGCAATGCTGCTTTTTCTTGAGGGGACGCAACCCATGTATGACAGATGAGCAAATATGGGTGTGGCCGGTCATTTACAGTCCAGTGGGGCACAGGTCGTGGATACAACTCCATACGACTCCTATGTGACCCTACACCTCACTGCTGGGCCCGGCATACAGAAGGGTCCAGAGTTTTCCTGGGCCCCGCCGTTTGCAGTGGTTGTGGAAAGCTGGACAAAGTATGTCTTCCGTCTGCAGGAGACAAGAGGATAAACAATGGAACAGAGCTTGATGAAGAAAAGGTCAAAGCAGAATATATCCCCGTTTCAACACCGAACCCTTACGGGGTTTTGCTGATGACCCAGCGCCATTGAATGGGCGCATGACCGAAGATGAAAAACAACCTCTTGAAGAGAGTGGAAAAGTCGTGAAACCGTACAGTACTGAGCGGCTGGGGCTACACACACAGTTCTTGCCTGCAACAGATGGAGTCGCAAGTTTCACCCTGATGGTACTCTAAATCCTGAGTAGCAGTTGAGACGCAACCGGGGCTTGGTGGCTGTATACTCTTTGCCTGATGACTAACGGTGTCGCAGCCCTTCTGGTTTTTAGTACAGCGTCTCAGCTCAGAACCGAGCCGTAACCAAGGTTTGAGGCACATGCCCTCAAAAAGTAGTTGAGCCCGCATCCACGTTGTCTTATAAGCTGTGGTTTATTAGCGAGTTTTACTTCTTTCGGTTTGGATAGTGGCATGCATGGGCATCTTGCAGTGTCACGCCGACTTGTGCACCTATGGATCCTCGCCTGGCTTGTCCGAGTTGTGAGAGTGTAAAACCCTAAACCCACACAGAAGGATCATTATCATGACAGTGACTGCTGAAGACACCTGCCGTATGTACACTGATGCTCGGTTCGTTGAAGCGCGGCACTTGCAAGGCCCAAACCCGATTCCGGTTCAGGCTTCACGTTTCAGATTTAGGAATCGTGATTTAGGTTCGGGGATTTGAACGTGGGTGGACTTGCTGGCTGACACTTAGAGCCCAGCTGACACTTAGAGCCCAGCTGCTAAAAAAGGTTCAGGGATTTGTATGTTAGATTGTGCACAACTTGTGATTTGTCTCGCCCCACTTCGTTCCCGAGCCCTCTAATGAGACATGGCAGACATAGCGTGCGGCTTGCCATAGCTTAACAATGCGACTGGCTGTTCCTCACAATTCTCCAACGTTTGCGCAGAAGTTTACCAAGTTTCTGGCAAAATTCGCGGTTCAAGCCTCTCGGGTGCATATAACGGCATAGGACACCCCATGTAACCCTGAGCCCTACACCCTAAACCCTAAACCCAGTATCCCAGGTTGCAGCTGCAGGAGATGCGGAGTCAACAGGAGCAGCGCCGCGCCCAGAATGACCCAGAGCTTGACCCACCGTTTAGGGTTTGGTGTTGAAGAAGTAATACAGGGGCCTAAATAATGACCAATACTATTTTGGGGGGGTTCCTTATTATCTTTATAGTATAATACACCCCAAAAACCCTATTTCTATTTATCAAGGCCCCTACATTATGTCAGGCTTCCTCAGTGCAGGCCTACAAGTCCTAAAATTTTGATCCCAAAACCCTACGAGCCAAATTCCTGGCATGTTGTTTCCCGTATGACGCCGTGCAGCGCGTGGCCTTGAGCAAAGTATCTTCGAGCCTTTCTTTAAGTTATTCCCTGAACCCTAAACCCTAAACCCTAAACCCTAAACCCTGAACCCTGAACCCCAAGCCATAAAACACTCAACCCCAAACCCTAGAGTCTCCCAAGCTTCGATGTCTGATTTCTGCACCGCTGTCCTCGGCCCGGAGGTCATCGCCCTGATTCCAAAATTCAGTAACCATAAACCTCTGAAGCAAGCTAAATCCGATGTAAGCTGGACCAAAAAAATCTGAACCCTACGCTAAACCCTGCTTTCAGAGGGCAAGATCCCGTCGAGTTACATCTGCAGAGCAGATCCACCGTTCTTTCCGCCAGCAGCAACAAGGTGAACAGTCGAAACGTACCGCCGCCCTGGCCGAGGTCAGTGCACTGTTCACAGACCAGCCTGTTTGAAACAGGGCAAGTGGATGGGATCCAGAAGTCTGCATGCTTCGAAATATCCCCCAAGCGAGCACATTGCTAGGCATCCGGTGTAGTTTCCGTGATGCCTAGTGCGTTGTGAGTTGTGAGTGCTAAAGTCATCTGCAGACCTTGCATCGCCCTGACACGTCCCAGTGCAAGCTACACTCCAAACCCTAATATAAGCCCTACACAAATTACCCGACCCACAGTTCAGTTGCATTTTCGAGCTTGACACTAGACGGGCCAACTCCAGCCCAACCCAGACACATACGCCCCGAGCCATGACATCCGATAAGTCTTCGGGTTTATGGGTTTAGCTTTTAGTGTTTCGGGTTCGGCTCAAGGGTTAGAGCTTGGTGTTAAATGCGTAGCAAGGAAGAGCATTAGGTCTCCAAAATTCATACCAAGCCCTTAACACTGCAAGGTCCGATGATCATTTCCGGTCAAAGCTGGATCGTGTGCAGAAAGACTTGGAGCTCTGGGCGCAGCGCGTGAAGGCCTCGTGTCATCCTCGGCGCGCAGCAGGGCAGGGGTGGTATTAGGTCATTAATATCGGGGCCGTAGCACTTACCTATATTATTTTGGGGGATTCCTTATTATGTATATAGTATAATGGGGCTCAAAACCCTATTCCAACTGTTAAGGCCCCTACATTAGATTTAATGAGGGTTTAGGATAGATGTTTCTGCTGCTGCTCTTGCTTTTGAAACGGTCAAGAGGTTCAGAGTTTGGGATAGTTGCTTTGGTGGTGTTGTTTTTTGTTGTACAGCTGATGGTTTGAGAATTTAGGGTTTGATAGCCCAGCGGGCTGAAGGTTTAAACTTGAGCTATACTGACGTATACGGTTGTTGTAGGGGCGGCGCAGCTTTCTATACGAGTTTGGAGATACCATGGTATCCTTACTTAGGACACTCAAGGTGATGCTAGATTTTGTCCATCAGCAGTATTCCTAGCACTGCTACTAGAAACAAGAGCCGCCACGGTTTTGTTGTGGCGCCGAACCGTAGTTCCTGCAGCCTTCAGCAAACCCCAAGCACTGACAATCATGATGATGTTTAGGCTTAACTTGGAGCTTCATGGGTAGTTACAAGTGGGGTTATAAGTAAGGTAACTATAGTTATTACCCATATTAGGGGACTTATAACCCCACTTATAACTACCCATGAACCTCCAAGTAGTAGGGTTTAGGATGGCAGCCAGTCTTACTTGTAGGAGTTGGATCATCTTCATCAGTGCCACTGCTCTTGTTATTCGCCGCAGTATTGCGAGCATTGCTTATGTTGTTGTACTTTATAACAGAGCGTTTCGCAAAGCGCAGGCAGTACTTTCTACTATTCAGAAAAATCACACCCTAAGCAGTGTTCAAACTTCGTCAGACAAAGTCATGTCATCACCCTAAACCCAAACTCCAGAACCTTTGTCACAAAGCCTAAACCGAAAAACGACAACCTACCCTAAACCTCTGAGAAAACCTAGATCCCATGCTTCTCTATAACATAGAAGCCTATATAAAGAGATTCCACTACTATGTTGGGGGCTCGTTAGTGTAATTATAGTATAGTATACCCCAAAGTCCTATTGAAATTATTAAGGTCCCTACATTACACTCTCATGCTTCCGTATCTGAAAACGCGGGCTGCAGGAGTTGGAAGATCAGCTGCGGCGAGCCTTTGAGGTAGAGGCCGCTGGCGGCAAAGAGGCCCCGATTGTTGTTGCTCAAGGGGGAGAGGGGTGTCGGGTAATAGGGGGTTAGAGATTTAGGGTTTTGGGTTTATGGTTTGGAAGTTGAAATTTACTGTTTCGAGCTCAGGGTTTAGGGTTTGGCGGGGGTGGGGGTTGGTTGAGGGTGGAGTCTTGTATGTTTGTTCTTTGGAAGCGGTGGGGGGATGAAGTTCCTAGGCTTGAGACTCAGGCGTACATTTCATCCATCACAAGACCACAACTTCCCGACACCACTCTAGCACCGCCCACAATTCGTAAACGATACGTGCTAGCAGTGATCAGAAGACCACGCAACTCAGCCCAGGTGGCCCTGCCAAGACGTTGACATTTCGATCGCTCTCAAAGCTAGATTAAAGAAAAAGACCCTAAACCATAAAACCCTGTCGGCTTAATCCGATCACATGCCGCAACTCTAACTTAATCTTTGTTTTAATAGAAACCCAACAAGGATTAGAAAGGATCATTTGTTATATCGCCCCAACAGGGAACCAGTCTAACTTCTGAAGCAACCCCAAGAGTTCGGCTTGTAGTAACCTATAAGAACTCCGGGAGCAGACCTTGTGGAGGGCGCTGCCTTCACGACATCCGTGTAGAGTGCCTCGTATATGCGGGTTAAAGTTTACTTGAACCCTAACAGAACCTATATTTTTGTGTGGTTTATGTGGTTTCGTTCTATAAGTCCTTAATTCAAAGGTAGGTAATTTGGGGCTCAGGTTGGGTTTGGGACTTGCGGCTCTGGGCTGATATAGGGTTGCATGGTTCAGGCTTTTTGAGTGACTTCTGAGCTCTCTAACGGCCCCCGCCTCAAAGCCGTGCAACGTGGCCAAAGTTGTCGTTTGACGGTTTGGGGCTTAGGGTTTAGGGACGGTGTGGGCAGTTCGTTGGTGTCGGCGCTACTTGCCGCTGTGATTTGCTGAGCTGAGTTTGTACAGCGTGCCAAGCAGCCCATGCGCCTGGTCTTGTTGACGCTGCACCCACGACAAGTCCGCGCGAAACCTGGCAAACCCAAAACACCTAAACCCTCCGTCCTGGAAAATTCCTAAACCCGATACACCGAGATCCCTCGACCCAGCTTCGTCTTAAAGCCGCACCCGAAGCACCTCTTGGGCACCGGAGGATCAGCTGCAGCTGCGCCTGGCCGAGCGAAAATCAGAGGACAATTCGTCCTATGGGTTTAGAGATGAGTCTCCTAGCCCCTTTTCTCCCCAATATCTAAACCCTAAACCCAAAAAAAAACCCTAAACCCTAAACCCTCAATATTCCTAAACCCTGAACCCTCAGCTTCATGGCTGTTGTAGTTGTTTCGCAGCCGAAGAGTTGGGAAGGCTGCACCGGCAGGTCGATGGACATAGCCATCGTACCTGCGCGCCTGTTGCAGAGCATGTCGCAGTTACTATAGGGGCCTAAACACTTATCTCAGCAACAGACCCCAACAGCGATGGAAAAACATACCGTTTGGTTCAATTTGGCGCTATGGTCTGTGTAAGAAAAACTTTCAGTCTACATCCTAACACCTAAACCCTAAACCCTAAACTCTAAAC